ACATTGTTTGGACAGAAATAGAAGACTCATTGGAAAAGTAGACTGAGAAAGCGACGAAGAACAGGGAGAGCTCGATAAAGCAAGGCGAAGGTGCGACCTCAAAACTGAATGCAAGGCAAGTTGGCGTAAGGAAAATGAGGCCTGGGGCCCTCCTATTTATAGCCACTATGCCAGAAAAACCAATGGTCTCGATCGAAACAGATCCGACGGCTTACAATAAAGCCGACTGCACGTCCTTTGAAACCGAAGTAGAGACGACTGCACGTCTTCCCAAATTGAATGCAGTTTGGCGCGTTTTTTGGCACCCGAAAAGTCCAAAAATTGTCTGACACCTGTGCGTATACATCATGCGAACAATCAACCTAGTTTGAATTACGGGTTAAATCTACCCGTCACTTCATGAAGTCCCCGTGCTAGGGCAAGATCCTTAGACCGAGGAGTGGGGGGCAATTGATGGAGGGTGATTTGACTCGACCACCTAACCAGGTAACACGTGGACATGACTCAGCGTAAGTGACAACTCGGCATGACAGCTTGGCCAAAACTCAGCGTAAAGAGCTCGCTGAAACCCCAGCAGAATAGCTCACAATAAGACAGCTCGCTACAGCTCGAGGCAGCTCGCTATTGGAGCTCGCTACAATGGAGTTCGTTACAGGGGAGCTCGCTGCAAGGGAGCTCGCTACAAAGGAGCTTGTTATTGAATAACTCGAAGTCTTCGGGAAGCTTCCTACCCGAAAAGACCATGCTTGTCAGACTGCTCCAACATTTCTTGTCTGACGGCGCAGCACCTTCCAGTCAAGAGGACTGCGCCCACGTCTAGCGTCAGGCGGCGTGGTACACACCGGCCCTACATAACATCTCTCAATTGACAGGACCGTACACTGCGATAGATACCTGCCCTAACCGAATCAGCCTGGCGATAACGGCTGTAGCAGAGGATCAAAGGCGGTTACACCCGATTTGACAGAACATCAGTATATAAAGGTCCCGATCCCCAAGGGACAAAGGGAACCGGAATAAGGTGATCTCGTGCTATCTGCACTCTTAGCTCTCTTACTAATCTCTATAGTTCTCTCTCAGAGTTCTAACTTAAGCATCGGAGTGTTCCCACCGGGTGAACTCCCCGGAATCCTTCACTGTCTTCTTCACCTCAAGTACTCTTCATCGCCAGCTAGGAGTGACCAGATCGCGCTACATCAAAGCTCAAAATAAACCACTTGATCCCATGCAAAGTTGCTAATGGAATCATCCAAATCTCCAAACAGGAAGGCAGGCTTTTGTAGTAGGTACTCTTGCATCCACCCAAGGCTCGTTGATAATTTGGAGAATGTAAGATTCCTTGCACGAAAGCGTATCGACCCTGGTTTCAACAAACGAGTGTGTCTCATATAAAAAAGAGGGGTGGTGTGATTTGAACCTAAGTTCATAAATGCCAAGGTGCGCAACCACCTTTGACCACTTTTTATTTCACATCAACAATTGTAATAAATTAATTTTTATTAAAAGTAATGTCTATATGCAAATAAAAAAGAAAACAACACACATTTGTTTTCAACAACTCCAACTACAAATTAAAAGAACAATTTTCAAAATTAGTATTTTATAAATCAACAGAATAAATAATTTATAAAATCCACATATATATATATATATCAAAAAATGAATTTTAATTTCAAAAATTTATACAAATAAAATATTAATAATAGAATAATTATTTTTTTGAGAGTAATAATAGAATAATTATTTTAATACTTAAAATTGATAAATTTGTACATGACATATATCTTAAAATTTTTATAAACTATTAATTAATATATTATTTTGCATTAAATAATAATATATTTATTATTTATAAAAATAAAATTATTGTTTATAAAGTATTTGAAAATATAATATAAATTTATCCTATCAATTCTATTAATCTATATTTCATATAAAAAATAATTTTTTTAATTTAGAAATTATATAAAAATAAAATATTAATAATGGAATAATTATTTTGGTAATTAAAATTTATGAATTTTCATATGATATCCATTTTCAAAATTTTAATAGATTTGGTATACAATTCCTATGTATTTATGCATTATTTATAGTTATTTTGACATTAAACTTAATATTATTAATATATTTATGGAATTTGTATGCATTTACCAAGTGTATCCATATTTGTATCCATATTCAAATTGTCCGATATGATACCTACCGATACTTTAATCCTTACTAATACCCTAACTCCCTATTTCATTTTAGTCCCTTATACACATGCATGACCCATTATGAGTAGATTTCACCTAACCTTGTGGTTCAACATGAAGCCTCCTATACCTAATCTACATCTAAATCTCTTGCCCAACTTGCCTAATCCCATATCCATTTTATAATGATTTGCTCTAAAGTGGGAATTTCGAAACCTTAAACTTTACAATTCTACCAAGTGTGTTCTTGAACCTCACCATAACACTGGACCTACCTCCTACTCCCAATTTACCATATAACCAATTTGGCATCAAGTGATGACTAAAGAGTATAATGCTCTCATATAAATTGGTACATGGCAACTTATACCCCCTTTCCATTCTTAGAATCTCATAAGGTGTAAGTGGGTCTACAAAATGGAGCAAAAGGCTGATGGAACTATGCACCGATTTAAAGCTCACCTTGTTGCTAAGGGATTTTAGTAAACAAAAGAATTGGATTACAAGAAGGCTTTTTGTGCAATAGTAAAACCAAATGATGTTGTCTGATCCGAGATGTTCTGATAGAGGACACAATCAGATAGTCCTGCCAAGTGGATGAGGCCGGGGTGGAAGGACGAAGCTACACATTAAAATCTATAATTAGGAGAAAGGTCAGAGACCCAAGGAGTTAATCCCCGGGTACATACTTTGATGCTCAAGTCAGTTGGGCAAAGGAAGAGGTGGTTGGGCCGAGCGTGTTAGAATAATGCTGGTCCGGGCCAAAGAGATAGTGCGAAGGGGCATTCAAAGAGTGTTGTTCCAAAAGTCTCTTACCTTGAGTGAATAATACCTATTTATAGTTCGGTGTCCGTGTACTAGATGGATAAAGCTTCTGGGGTTATCAGGATGAGGTTGTCCACTGAGGTCTTTGGGAGGTATCCTCTTCCCCGGCAGACTCCGCTTCCTTGTCCGTGAAGGACACTCCTTCTTAATCGTGCTCTTCCACCTTACATGGCATTGACGTGACTTGAGAGAGGGAGCGGCCATGGAGATAGCCATGTGGCATCCACGGCCAGCTCATCTACTACCCAAACACCAACTACCATTTGCCTTGTCTTCTTCATTACAAAGTTCAATGGTTGTCTTATTCACCACTCACTAACTTGATGCCTCTAATGCCTTTTGACATAGTGCACTTCAAGAGGAAGTTTACATGATACAACCCCAAGGTTTTGTGGAATTGATTTCCATGACTACCCTTATTCAATAATTAGCCCAACACTTTTCTCTTTAGGATCTAAGACCCTTCACTAATTTCTAGATATTAAAGCCTATGATTCTCCCATGTTCTACTGTTGAGTTAGCAAAAATATATTGTTGATTTACTCTACTGAACCCATATGGGTAGCATCAACTAGTGACACAACTTTTGTATATAGCACCCATTCTTCCTTATCTCTACTTCAAGAATTCATTGAGCATAGGAGTTTTGTCAATCCCCTACATCACCTCTCCATAATAAGGCTTAACATCCCCATCATCCCGAACAAACTACGTCAAATCATGTATTCACTATGAAAGGAAAATTGTGTTGCTACCAAGCATAGAATACGCTATCTTAAGAGTACCATTGATAATATATCCTCTTTGCTTTTATTTTTTTTTTCAATTACCTTCGATTAATAGAAATTGCTCATGGGATTTTGATTAAACCTTTCTCTGAGCTATCACTTGTGGCTTTCTTGCATTTTAATCGGGTTAGAGCCCTAAAAGATTACATGTCTACCACTAGGCACTAGTTATGCTATTTACTTTGGTTCTATCCTAATCTCACGGTGTTGGAAGAAGAAAAAAGCAGTAACTCACTCTTCTACAAGGGCTAAGTATCATGCACTTGCTGCTATAGTAGCTAAGCTCACATGGATCCTGTCTCTTCTTTGGGATCTTGGTATTTTTTTCTGTTTGTGCTTATTGTATGATGATCGAGATAATCTAAATTCCATGTACCTTGAGATAGTCTTCCACTTTGTTCATGACAAATGGTGTCTTAAAATCTTATTATTGTTTGCTATATTCCAACTGTGGATCAGATTGTGGATGTTCTAACCAAGAGTATACCTTCACAAAGGTTTCTTTCCTTATGAAACAAACTGAATGTATTCAAGGAACTGTTCAATTTGTGGGGGTTGTATTTGTAACCCAATTGGGCGGTCACTTAACTCTCAAACCCATGAACAAGGTTTTTAAAACTGAACCGGACAACGAACTGGTCAGGAGTCTGGTTCCCAAGTCAAACAGTCTGGTTGTTCGAACTGAACAGACAGCCCATTCTGACAAAAAAAATAAAAAATAAATAAAAACGGCCAAAACCATTAGATGATTCGATCGCCTGAGTCAATGGTTTTCTGACCAAATCAACAATTTTTAACGAAATAACAGTTCTGGGGTAAAAGGGAACCGATCACCTGACCGGCTCCCAGTTTTTCCAATCCGACCCTTTGGTCCAGTCCGGTTTTGAAAACCATGCCCATGAATATATTTCATGCACGAGAGTTGTCAAACTACTTAATATCAATGTGATATCTTCGTGAGTCTCACTTATTCTATTGTATTTTTAAATTTAAATGAGAATATGCAAAGTGTATATGAACTAAAATAATTAGACTATAATTGAATATAGGTTGAGTACAAACTTGTTATAAATATCAAAATCAGTGTCTTTGCGAATAGAATCTCGATCAGTGGACTTCTCTCTAAGTAAAAGATCAGCACAGGGATAGTTACTCAATCTTATTTAAGTGAATTATTAGCCCAACTTACCAATGGTGGAAGGAAGAATAGTGCCCCAGCAATTTCAGAAGGCCAATGGCCGTCACTCGCTTGGATAGCCCCATAGTATTGGAGAGCCCTCCTTAGTGTAGCAGTAGCTGCCTCATAGGTTATATCCTCATTGTCTCCTATCTTTGCTGGTGGTATAGTTTGAACAAAATTATTCTCTTTTAAGAGCTGTATTTTAATGAAGGAGAAAAAGAAAAATTTTGATTAATACATGAATCACAATAAATAAAGAACATAGTGAGATTAATTTGATATATCAAAATAAGTTCAATCAAGAAATTAATGATTCATGTGTTGAAATGATGGGCAGGACATGCCTCCTACTGCTCTTGATTTTCAGATTTAAACCTTGAAACCTTAACTTTAAACCTTAAAATCTAAACTTTAAACTCTCAAGTCCTAAAAACCCTAACCCTAAACCTTATACCTTATAATCTAAAGTCTAAACCCTTAAATCCTAAAGCCAAATACCCAAACCCTTAGCCCTAAGCTTTGAATCCTAAAAATATAAATTAATTTTCTAAACCCTTAAACTTTAAAGCCTAAATTTCTAAACTCAAACCTTAAATTTATTGTATAAAATGCCTTTCGTAGGATACATGTCCTCCAATGGGGTACGGGGCAAGTATTTTCCATAACTCCCTTGTGATATAGTTCTTAACATCTCCATTTATCCCAAGAAGGGAGGAAAAATCGGATGGGTGTTTTGTAGTGTTAAGATAGTGTAATTACATAAGTACGTACGCATGCCTGGCTAACATGGGCTGAACCTGGGTCAGACTGGTCCATTTTTAGACCAATGAATTAAAGGTTTAAGGTGTTGGACATTTTAGAACATTAACAAATCAGCATGTGTCTTAATTAAATAATGGAATATTCTAGAAGAGCAAAGAATCCAGTTAAGCTATTGGAAAGCTAAATAAGCATCTGCATTAAATGAGTAAATAAAAGAATACTTCACATTAAGGCCCTATTTGCTTTTCAGTAAGTTATTTACCTGGGTAAATGCAATTACCTGGATAAGTTTTTCTTGGGAAGCACTTACCTGGGTAAGTGTATTTACCCATGTTCTTTTATTTCTCATGTTAATAAGACAATGACCTTTTAGTCATAAAAATCTATTATTAAAAATGACATTTTTGTCCATTCAAGTGTTTCCAACCTTCCCCCTAGGTAGGAAAGTTATTTACCCACTTAGGAGATGGGTATCACTTACCTGGGTAAATGGTAACCAAGAAAATAAACTTTCCCTGATCCCCACATAAATCTGAAAATTGAACATAGGATTCTTGAGTCTGTCTCAAAATCTGAAAACAGAACACCCCATACATCTAAATAATCCAAACTTTGGCTTGAGTCTGTCTTATATATAAGATGTAAAACTGATGAGATTTTTAATTGTTCAAAATAATTATTCTTTTAGGCTATGTTTGATTTGAAGAAAAGTGTAGGGAAAGGTAGGGAAAGCTGAAGTAACTGTTATTAATTATATAGAGATTTTGTAGACGGTGGCAATTTTGGTTGGTCCGAGTTAACATTTTACACTAGTTTGGGTAAGACCCATTCAAATTTTGACAAAAGCCCGACCTATACTTGCTCAACTTGCATCCCTAATATTTTATATTAAATGATGATGAAAGAAACTTCCCCTCAAGGCAGTCCAACAAAGGGATAAAGGCAAACATACAAAGAGCTCAAGTGCTGTATATTTAATAGATATTGATATTGGTTTTCAATTTAATTTATAGTGATACCCTGCATAGTTTAAGGAAGTCCATTTCTATTAGAATCATCCTCTCTAGATTCTTACTTCCCTTGCAGATTTTTCTAAGCTAATTTAGTAGAAAACAATTCATATATACCACCAGGTCCACCACGAATATCCTCTTCCCTAAGCTAAAAGTAGCTATTATACTCAAAATAAAACCTACTAATAGGCCTCAAAAAGAAGGAAGTGAATTAATGGGTTACACATATAAAGAGAAGATTCCTAAATTCTGGTTTGCAAAAAACAAAACCCCCCCGTCTTAGCACAAATGAAGACAAAGAATTCTGCAAAAAAAAAAAGGAAATAACTAAAAAAATCTATAAAGAAAAGATTTGAATAAAGTTTAAAATAAATAAATGACAACAAATGAGAATAGTTAATTTTACAAGGTGCTGTTCTAATGGTCTAAAGCATGGTTTTTAATATCGAACCGGTGACCGAACCAGTCAGGGGTCTGGTTACCAGTTCGAATGGTCTGACCGTTTGACCTGAATGGTCGACCCGTTCTAACAAAAAAATAAAAAAATTGAAAAATTTGAAAAACTGTCAAAACCATTTGAACGGTTAACCAGCCGGTTCAGCAGTTTGCTGACCAAAATCAATGGTTTTGGGGGAAAACGGAACCGGTCAGGTGAACGGTTCCGGTTTTCCCAGTCCAACCGTCCGGTCCGGTCAGATTTTGAAAACCATGGTCTAAAGTCTGATATTTAAAAAGGAAATACGTTTTGACAAGAGCACTTTGAAAATTGTTTTTTGTTTTTTGCTTTATATAATATATGAGTGTAGAGAATATATTAAGCTAATTAAAACCCGAGCTGAATGTTCAATATGGTTATTTTACAATTTTGCCCCCATAGTTGATTCTGAGAATGGATATTTATATTACTTATAGTTAGCATTAATATATTAATATTAATCATTATTTTTAGAATAAAACTAATATTAACCAAATAATAAAAACAATGGAAATAAAATAATAAATAATAATAATATTATTTTAATAAATAATACTTATTATTTTAACAAATAATACTTATTATTTAGTAATACTTTATTATTATTAAAAGAGTACATTTTTGAAACCCTTCCAATATCTTTTCTTTTCTCACATTGATTTATTTTTCCAATTTTCCTTCAACTTTTTTTTTTAATTCACTTTTCTTCTTTTGTTATTTATAAAGATTGTATTGTTCTTTTATTTTGTGTGTGCAAAAACCAGCCTCAATAGTAATTGCATAGGTATTTTGGAGAATTTTGTGCCTTTTATCAGAGGATTCTAATAGATGGGGTCTACTTGCAATTGTGTCAAAAAGTTTAGAGAGGTGATTGCAATTACCTAATTTACCATTATTAAAATAATATTTTATTATTGATATTTATAAACTTTTTATAATAAGAGTGTGTTACTAATAATAAATATTGAATAAAATGTCTGAAGGGAATTTTGTGGAAAAATAATAAGAATGTTGTCAGTTATGATATTTGAACTCTAAAAAGTAAGAGGTATTAAAAGAACAACTCGATGTCTGAAAATTTTGCTTTTAAGACATCAAGACGTTGAAAATATACCAAAAGAACAAGGCCTAAAACAAGTAAAGTCTAAAATAAATGATAATGGGCTAACTTCTTGTGGTTGAAACGGGCCTAAACAAGTAAAAAGTGGGCTAAAACCCTATAATTTAAAGTCAAGTATACAAGAAATGAAGGTGTGGGTTGAAATTCTAAAATTTTAATCAAACATAAAACCCTAGATATTTAAATATTACAATATTAAGATTGATAAATTTGTAGAAAGCAAAAACATTAACATAAATTTCTCGTCCATAAGATGAAATTATACAAGTTGCTAAAAATTAACTAATGAGAGATGAATTTTCTACAAAAAAAAAAATAGTATTACGGAGATTTGATTAAATATGATACATAAATTACAGAATGGTCATTATAAATATGAACAATAGTAAATATAACTCAATGGGAGTGCAAATCAATTTAACCTAGTATTGGAAACCAAGAGATAATTCAAGCTGAGCTTTTTTTAGAACCTTGGTTCAACAACTCATAACAAGGGAGAGATTGTGAAGGATATTGCCCAAAGAATTAGAGCAGGATGGGCGAAATTGAAGGGTGCATTTAGGGTTTTATATGATAGGTGAACACCACTTGGATTAAAAGGAAAACAATTGTAAGGTCAACTATATTGTATGAGGGAGAGTGTTGTACAGTAAAGAAACATGTCCAAAAAATGAATGTGATAGAAATGTATAGGTTGGAATGGAAGAATGGAAAAACTTTTAAAGTTAGGATGGATCAAAGATGAGGTCATCTGTGGGAACTTAGGAGTAGCTACAATAGATGATAAAGTGAGAAAAAGTTGAGTAAAATGGTTTAGTCATGTACATAGAAGGCTATCAACAACACCTGTAAGGAATGATTTAGTTCATGTAGTTGGGTCCATATATTTGCGATAAAGCTTGAAGAATGATAATGAATTAAGGATGAAAAGTAGTAAATACCATTGTTCTGAAAACCAGACTGGACTGAATGGCCAAACCTTTTAACCAAAGAACCGGTTGAGGTTCTAGGTCTGGTTATTCCCTAGACCTGTTTTTAACAAATTTGTTAAAAAAAAATGTTGAAGAATTCATAAAATTACTGACCTAGACGGTTCAACCATTGAATTGTTCAACTCGAACAACGGTTCGCAAGTAACAATATACAAGTATGAAATGGAGATTTCACTCCTACTTCTCATTCGATCAATAGGATTTTATAGAAGTAGGCTTTTTAGTTTTTATAGAAGTCTTCATTCTCAAGACTCTCGAATATGAAACTCTCAACCAAACTCAACGACAATTTGCCACTTTGAAGGAGACCATCAAGACTCAACTCCCTATCTCCAATCTACAAGCACCATTTGCAATGGTAGGCTTGCAACCACGACACAACTTGGGGTACCAGACTCAATGATGACGTGGGGCTTTGAAGGAGACCATGAAGACATTGACTCCCTATCTCCAACCTCCCTCTATCCTTGGTCCTTGCACCAATGACCACCATTTGAAATGGTACCCTCAAGGCTTAGGCTTGCAAGGATGACGTAGCTTGGAGTTCCATTTTTCTGATGTAGCTCTACCATTTGCAAAGGTGATTCAAGGATTATAGCGATAGTTTTGAATCCTAACCTCCTACATCCATTTTGATTTTGTTTGGAGAAGGGAGAAAAGTTTCAATTTCCATATTTGAATCTTGACCTCCCACACCGGTTTTGATTTTGTGCTAGTTGCAATGGTTCAATCTTGTTGGACAACATCCACCGAACTAGAGATATGGGTTGCAACGGTGATTCAGGTTTAATTTTATGATAAATTTTATTATTTATACATATTTTATAATTTTATTATTATGTTTATGATGTCACAGGTTGAACCATTGATCCAAAAATTAGTGACAAGAGCGGTTTCATTTCTGGGTTAGTTTTTAAAACCTTGGTAAATGTGAATATTTGTACAAGCACAATGGCCTTAAATTTCCTTTAATGAATCTTAGCAATGGGTGAGAAATAAAAGATGAAATGAGTTTCTTTCTTTCTTTCTTTATTTTTTTCGATAGGAAATGGAAGAACCAAAGAAAAAAAAAAGAAAAACTAGATGCGGCATTACTATAGTTTATGAAAGTGTCATCGAGTGTAAATTAATTACTACAATTTTAATGCTAAAAATGGGCATGAGACCTTAAAGTCAGAGGGTTACATAATTGGGTGCTTGAATAGAGGTTTTTCTAGATGCTTCTTGAGGCTTCTAGCTAACTCTGCATGCTTTTAGGTTGTTCTAAAAAATTCTACAGTGTTTTGGTGTGTTCTCTATGTAGGGATGATGCTAGTGGAAACTTCCGGAACTTTGTAGAACAATTTGGATTTGTGTGGAATGCTCTAGAGTGGTTTGGAGTAATTAGACTTGTTCTAGAGTGTTCTTGTACCTTATAGAATGGGCATCCCTTAGAAGAGTGTAGAAGATAGAATGTTCTATAGGTGCTTTTAGATGATGCCAATTGTGAGAGTATTCTTTGAGTTGTAAGCTTTCTTCCATAGTGTAATACAATTTTTTCCTCTTACATTACTTGGTATGTTTTTGTGTGCCTTGGTGTGTGTCCTTAGCACTTAGGCAACTTGGTAAGAAGGGTCTTGGGTGTGTAGTTTGGCTAACTTTCTTGGAGGGCCAAATGAATGCCACAAGACTTACCAATGGAAGTGATCGGGTTGTAACAAGTGGTATCGAAGCAACGTTTCTAGGGGCATGTGGGAGCTTGCATGGATAAGATGTTGGTAGGATGCAACACTAGCAAGACACATGAGTGGGAGATGTGCCACTCCAAAAAGACAAGGGAAGCATCAAGTGACGTTCACGTTGCCTTGGAGGATAGGATGGCAATGGTAGAACTTGTCATGGGAGACATGCAAGACAAGTTCATAGACATGAGTGGCTGAGTTGATGGACTAGAGGGTAAGCTAATGGAGCTCAAGGCAGCCATGGAAGAGGGCATGAATCTTGCTTGGCATGATGAAGACAAAGAATGGGATGGATTGGAAAACAAGTTGATGGGCAATTTGGCCAAGGTACAAGCTAATGTAGACGAGCTAAAGGAAGATGTGGTGCTTTGCAAGAAGCTGCCAACATGGGATGAGGTGGGAACGCTATGGGACATGCCAAAGGTAAGGGCACCTAAGCCACCTCACTTCAATGGTACTAGGGATGCATTGGCATTGAACAACTTCTTATGGTGCATGGAGCAGTACTTTGAAGCCATGCACATAAGGGACAAACAAGCTAAGGTATGTGTTGCCACTAAGTACTTGACTCACACAACTATCTTGTGGTGGAGGCAACATTGTGTAGACATGGAGAATGGGCAGTTTCATATTGATAGCTGGGACAATTTCAAATAGGACATCAAGCACTAGTTCTTTTTGAAGTAACCTGAGGAAGTTGAGGCATACTAGATCAATTAGGGATTATGTGTGGGAGTTAACACGCATGCTTGAGATATTTGACATGGTTGACGAGGAGTTTCTATTCAACTTCATGGACAGGCTCCAACCATGGGCAAAAAAGTTGTAGCATAGGAGCGTGTAGTATCTAGCTATTGCCATGGTTGAGGCAAAGAAGTTGGGGAGAGAAACATGGGTAGCTCAATGGAGACCATGTCCAAATGGGTGGCCACGACATCGGAGGGGGAGATCACCATAGCCACAAGGACAATCAAGATGGGCATAGTGATAACTAGGTTAAGGGGGGGCAATCCAAAACTCAGAACGAGAAGGCCAATCAGATTAAGTCAAGGGACAAGGGCAAGGCAAAGTTGAGTTGCTTCATTTGTGAAGGGGACTACTATTCTCGTGACTGTCCAAAGTGGAGGGTGCTTACTGCATTGTTATGTGGAGGTGTAAAGGAGGCCAAGATTGGTCACTGTAGTTACTTAGTAGCATTAAGAAGTTGGAGGGTCCAGCTAAGGGGGCAGCCAAGACCACAACTAGGTCAAAACTGATGTATGCGGAGGTGTTGATCAATGGTGAGAAGACCTAGTCCCCACTAGAATAGTTTCCAATGGGTAGGGAACTTGAAGAGATTATTGTGGCAACCATGGCCACCTTTCTTGGGGTAACTCCATGGGTGGAATACACAATCAAGTGGAAGGGTTTAGGGGCGTTTGAAGCACTGTATGCATATGAGTAGATGAGTTGATTGTGGTAGGCCACGAGGACTTGATCAGGTAATGGGATGCACAAGCCAATTGAGTGTAATGAGGGTGTTGCACAATCAAGTGAGGAGGAGTGTCATGGGATGCCATAATTGGGTGCTTAGCTAGAGGTTTTCTAGATGCTTCTGGGCTGTTTCAGAGCATTCTATGGTGCTTTGGAGTGTTTTCCATGTTCATGTCTAGAAAGGTTTGGATGCTAGTAGAACCTTACAGAACCTTGTGGAACAATCTAGATTTGTGTGGAATGCCATAGAGTGGTTTGGAGTAATCAAAACTTGCTCTAGAGTGTTCTTGTACCTTATAGAATGGGCATCCCCTAAAATAGTGCAGAAGATAAAATGTTATATAAGTACTTCTAGATGATGCCAAGTGTGCATAGTTCTAGAGGATTTTTTGAGAGGGTTAGTGTATAAATAGAAGTCCCCTCCCTCATTTGGAAACCATCCAAGTTATAAGAGCATTCTTTGAATTGTAAGTTTTTTTACATAGTGCAATACAATCTTTTCCTCTTACATTACTTGGTGTATTCTTGTGTGCCTTGGTGTATGTCCTTAACACTTAAGCAACCTAGCGAGAAGGGTATTGAGTGTATAGTTTAGTTAACTTATTTTGAGGGACAAATGAGTGCCACATAACTTAGCCAATATGAGCGGTCGTGTTGTAATTAAGAAGTGAAGGAAAATTATATATATAAGAGAGAGATGGTTACTTGCAAGCGCAATAAAACATCAGCACTGGGCTTGACATGGTGGCGGTTCTTCCTAAACTCCTCGCGAGCCTTTTCAACCTTAGCACGCTCTTCTTCTGTATAGTAGTTGGGGTCAAACTCCCAAGTCTGACGTCCCACATAATTGTTGGTGCTGTATATATAGGGGCCACCTCCTTGGGCAATCTTAAGCCTCCACATATTGATAGTGATGTACCAGTGGTAGTAACTCGCTTTCTTTTCTTGATACCTACCCATTTTATGAAACAATTTTGAAGAGCTTAAGTAAGGGTTCAGGTTCAAAGCTAATTAATTATTTGTTAGATGAACTTTAGAATGAACTTGCTAAACTAATCAGCAAGGATTGGGGAGGGATAAAAATCATTCACATGTAGAGTGTGAGATCTACCATCACCACTGCTTCTATACATATCCATGTCAAGAGTGTATGTGTCTTTTCACAACAAATAATAAAAATATATAAAATGATGATCATGATATTTATGTTATATACCTGAATACATCAATACTAAAATAAAATATAACTATGACATGGAAATTATTCACTTTTTTTTTGCACTTAAAACTTTATTTCTTAGCTATAACTAGTTAATTCTACATAATGTTTGAAAAATAGAAGCTAGCTATGGTTAATGTTGGAGATGTAATTAGAGAGAATGAGGTGAAGCTATGAGACATATTTGAATGTTACTTTTTTTCCACTTAATAAATTGAATTTACTATTGGGTTACAAATAAATTTGTTCTCAGGATTCAGTAGAGTCTTAGGTAAGGGATTGCAACCAAAGTTGAAGATGCTATAAGAAAACCTTCTATGAGACAACCATAATTCAGATTGATAACAAAAAAAAAGTATGCATGTGAATTGTGTAAAAACATCTTGACTTACACCTTTTTTTATAAATTATGATTGTTAAATTTAAATTGTGCCTTTTGACCATACATGATTAAGTCATGACCGTTTGGTCGTAGAAAGGAATATCAACAATCATGATTCAGCCTCCTCAAAGTGTCTCAGGGTGTCCCTATGTGTACTACTTTTTTTGTTGAGATTCAACAGCCAAGACTTAATCAGGTGTGGTTAAGAGACACAATTTAAATTTAATTATTAGTTATAATTGAAAGAGAATGATCACTTAATTCAAATTCATGACTGTATACAGATAGGAATGGCAACAAGGTAGAGACAATATTCCCCATCCTCAACTTTGAATTTTACTAATAACTTCCCTTCATTGACCTCGATTCCCATAAAGATAAAAATCAACTTCCATCACTGACCTCGATGGAGATGGTTTCTTCATTGGGGAGACGAATCTCTAAATATTTTTTTTAACTAAAAAGTTTGCTTGTTCTTTGGGAAAAAGATTTTCTTAAAAGAACTAAAAAAAATCATTAATCTAAATTGGTTTAACACTTAACTAACATCATTAATTACCAAGATAACATGAAAATTGAAATTTATCCAATATATGTATTGGCATTGTATAATATTCCAAAAAAAAATATTGGCATTATATATATATATATATTATATAGTTTGGGTAGGGCAATGCTGATATTTCACTTCATATCCTTGATCAGGTATATCAATTATTCCCATCCTTGTCCCAGTCCCCACTAGAATAGTTTCCATACCTGACCTAGTGGGGATGGGGAAAATTTCCATCGCTATGTATAAAGAGCCTCTTCACAAACACTAAGGATGTGTTTGGTTTGAAGGAAAAAGTAGAGAAAAGAAAGGAAAGGTAGGGAAACCTTTATAAACCTTGTAAAATTTTCCCTACGTTTCCTTTCTTTTCCCTACCTTTTCCTTCAAACCAAACATAACCTTAGAAAATTACTTGAAGATTTTCCAACTTTATTGGTTGCAATTTATTATGTGAGGCTCTATTGTATCTTGGGAATGAATATATTTGTAACTCAGCAGAAAATTCAATTTACTGAATAGGGATAGATAACATTCCAAAAATAGCATCTTTAAATACACTACAAAATTTCACCTCCAATAATTTATTACTACATTTTCAATAGTTAATTTTTTATTTTAATTTGGTTGACTAAATTAGCATTTTTCACTAAAACCTCTAAAGAAAATGGTGGAATAGAAAAAATGAAATAGATGGAAATTAATACACTATAGACGATAAATGATCTCATTTAACTGACCAATTTATTTTGAGGGGAAATTTTTATAGAAATGCATGAAGGAAACCAACTACAAAATTCATTAGGTTGGAAAATTGCAGGATATGAATCAGTTTAAATTTAATAAATTATCTCTGTCTTTTATTTCTTAACCTCAAACTTTACTCCAGTGGAGGAAGTCAACCGACCTATATATATATATATATATACAATGAAGAAAGCCTATGAGGGGGGACATAGAGGACCATCCGTTCATAGAATTTATAAAACAAACCCATGAGATATTAATATTACCAAATATAATACATTTTAATGGGAGTTAATATTTCCACGACCCCATTTTTAGGATTTCTTTTTTATAGAAGTTTCAAAATTAACTTTGGGGAAAATCTTTGATACCTAACTTTTGACTTAAATAATTGCCTTAAACCGTTTCAAACATTTAAAAAGCAATAAGAAATATTGTCCCTAGAAAAAGATAGTGGATAAAATAACAGTGTTTCAAAACATTAATAAATGCATATTTATGGGTTTATTTTTTTTATATATTTATACTAATAGAGGAGCCTGAGCATACACGGCATGACTGGGAAAATTTTCAGGAGGAAAGACTAAGGCATCGTGTGATTTGTGGGAATAGGCGTTTAGAATTAGAATCGATTCATGAGAATCCTGTCCACATTTATCAGTCACACATGGAGAACATCTCATCCTCTGCATAATATTATGCAGGGGGAAATATTCCAATTCACGGGGGGTGGTGTGTTGTGGATAGGCGTGGGCAGGAGATCCAGAGTCGGTTAGATCAAACCAATTCAAAGACTAGGATTCTAGTTTTCTATCCCCACGCGACATGTGAAATATGAAAAATGGTCCTCTTTTGTCAAGACTACCAAAAAATTGAAGGATCTGAATTAAATCCAAAAGAAACTCTCATGACCATCAGAAAGAACAAAATAATGAACCGAAGAGAAAACAAAAAGAAAAAACTTTTGATTAGTCAGAAAAATATACTTTTTCTTATTCTCCTATCGCTTCAGAATAGTTAATCAATTACCTTCTTTGCAGAAGAAAACTTAATTGTAGCGAGACGCAGAACAAATTAAATAGACAAAAGACAACCAACTTCGCCTCAGATCAAATATAGTCAAACTCTTTTCAAATTTCTTGGAGTGGAAATTACAGAATCCATTTCGTCCATTGGATATCAGATCAGTGAGAGATTTTGACCTAGTATCCAATGCTGTCGTCGATTGGATGTTACTTAGTGGTGCGGGAAGACTGTGAGAGAAGTTCAAAGGTCTGACTGTGAGAGAGACAGAGGGAATATAAAATAGTGAGAGAAGGGAAGAGCTGGAAGGAAAACCCTGTTTTTTGGCGGGTATTAGTATAGTGGCAGTCCATTAGCCTTTAGCGAAGAGAGGGTTTTAAATGACTGCTGCTATAAAATAGTATTTTTAGCGGAAGTCATCCATGTGGAGATGGGATCTGCTCCTTGCACCGACCTTACACATACATTCTATCATGCATTGGGAATATTTCCCGTATTTATAAATTATTATTCATGGAAGATGTTTTTAATGCACGGTGGATATACCTGTTAGGCATCTGGACTCATTCTTTTGAGGCCTTAACTTCAATTTAGTGAATTCTCAAAAAGAGTTTGGAGCTCAGCAAAATGAATTAAATTTCAAATTTCCTAAATCAGTAATATTTTGAATCATAAAATTCATCAGAACTAGTCCTATAAAAACATGCCAAACCTAGTCTACCTTGCGCTAATTAGGGCTAAATAAGCCTTATATATAGTTGCAATTAAAAAAATAAAATAATTAAAAAGAGGATCAAAAAACAACTTACCAGCTTTTTTTTTCCTGGAGAGATAGAGGATCAGATTTGAGGAAGCACTTTAATTGGATATTGAACTCAACAAAGTAGTTTGTTTAAGAACTTAAAAGAATTAGAACCAGCTAGGTAGGTTAAACAAGTAGAATTGCAGGATGTGTAGTGTAGGAAAAAAAAAAAAGAAGAAACCCACCCACTTAAATAAGGACAACTTTGCATTTACTCTTGCAGAAAAAAAAAAAAAAGAAGTTACAGGTATTAATAATCATTAAATATGGCCATGTGCATACTGCATATGTGTTGTCTTTGCTTTTATTTTTATTTTCTGTTTTAATTAAAGCTACTCTAAAGAGGTCTTAAAAATAACAGCTACTCTCTCCTCTTTTATCTTTATCATTGTTATCGTTACTTTCGAGATCCAATTCTTGCATACATTTATACTAGCGGGAATCGTGCTATATAGTTTTCATTTTACCTCATAAATATTATTTTATCAAAAACTATTAATTTGATCAACAAACCGCTGACCCAGGTGATTGAATCCTTCAATTGTTTTGACCGTTTTTGTTTAGAAAAAGAAGTTAAATTTCTTGTCAGAACAGGACCATTCTATCTGAAAACCAAACCTCTGACCAATTCGTTGTCCCGTTCGATTTTAAAAACCTTGCCATACTATGCACACACTAATTTGTTAAGTCAAATTAAAAGGGAAGGATTCCACCTAATCAAAGTAGAAGTATAAACTAACATGGGCTAAATTGATATGAAAGGAGTGAGACCCCAGTCTAGAACTGGCAATGGGTTGGGGCAGGCGGGGCCAACTTTTGCAAACCCTATTTATGACCCTGAACTCAAGTACCCCACTCTATCCTTGTCCTGTACCTTGACGGGATAAAAATCCCAACCCCATACTCATTGCGTGGAATAGGGGCTAAAAATCTAAGTCTGGATCTCCTGCCCATGGCTATCCACATAAGATGTTAGTCATATATGCAGAATATCTTATTCTTCTACATAATATTATATAGGGGGAGATGTTCCCAATAAGGTTCAAAATATTGATATGTCTAATACACCGATAGGGGCATATCGGACGAATCGATACACATTTTGGAGCTGTTTTTTTTTTTTTTTTCACAACCGGTTCAGGAGGGCCGTTTAGGTCTCCTCTACCCTCTGAACCGGTCAAACCTCTGATACACCCACTGTAGGGGCGTATCGGAAGGGTCCCAAAACGATGCATATCAACCAATATGGGTCGATACATGTCGACACTTTGAACCTTGGTTGCCAATTCATGGGAGGTAGTGTGTACCCCACTCTGTCATTTCCCCTTCTTGTAAACCAGCCCTACTCCCCACCTTCTGGGTTCTACTTCATTTTCTCTTAATATATTATATTATAAATTATAATATGTTATTTTTTTAATTCTTATTAAAGTCCTAATATCTTTATATCAAAGGTTATACTCACGATTTGGTTTCTCAAATCAAATACTTTTAATCAGGTTTGGTTCAAGATAGGGATGAGCATAGTTCGGTTGAAACCGAATAACCGAACCAAAATTTTAGTTTCGGTTTGATCGGTTCAGTTTTTAAATACGGTTTTAGTATTGTCGGTTTTGGTTTCGGTTCTGATATTTAGAGGTTTGGTTAACCGAAATAACCAAACTTGTAAGGGCAAATTTGTAATTATATAGGCCATTAGGCCAAAACACAAAACCCTTAAGGGCTCGAGCTTGACATGTCTCCACTCTCCAGTCTCCCTTCGCCCATCCCAGTTCCCTCTACGACTTTGCACCTCTCTCTGCCCATTGCTTCTTCTACTCTTCACTTCTTCAGAGTTCACTCGTTCAGGCTTCTCTCTTCTCTTCGTTTTTGACTTAGTGACTTCTGTGTTTTTAAGTATCTGAAAACAAATGAAAGATTTTAGACTGCACCTAATTGGCATAATGTGTCTCATACTTAGGCTAGTATGAACAGGAGGCAATGCAAATTCATCTTCATTTCAGTATGACAGTATGTGTTGGGAGATACTTCCTCGAGTTTGTTTTGGAAAATCAATCACTTGACCCCTAAGACTAAGATGTATTGTTAGTGTTCTGCCTATGGCAAAGTACATCTCCCAACACGATCCTAACATGTCAGACCCTTATGCAAACTGTAATTAAGAAGAGGAGACTTCTCACTTATTTTTTTGAATGTTTGATCGTTAGAAGAGTATGACTTCCCTCAAACATTTCTACTTGAGTTGACCATTTTTCAGATTTGACTGTTTGTAAATTGTGATTCAGGAGAGTACAATCATTCAGGAAGAAATAATTAAATAATAGCAAAATTTAATTCTAAACGAATAAACCAAAATAACCAAAAAAAAAATTCGATTCAATTTGATCGGTTTAGGTGAAGTTTGGTTTCGCTTCAGTTTTGGAATATAACATATCGGTTTTATGAAATTCGGTTTGTTCGGTTCGATTTTTAACCGAAGAAACCGAATGCACAGCCCTACTTCAAGGTCGGAATCATGTTTGGATGGACAAATACCAATCCCACCCCGTCCCTAGTCACCGCCAAAATTTTGCGTTTCCCAAAACCTAGTCAATTGTCAAAACATTTGCCCTGATTGGGCGTGAGGCAAGCCAGAAATAAATGGACAATAATTTAGTGTTGACTTCTAATAAATTTAATTATTACTGTTAACAATAATTTTTGCAAACAATTAATGATAAATAATTTTTGAAAATTGATCAAATTAATTACTGTTAATTAGTTGGAGTTTTCAATAATTACTGTCAACAAAGAGATTAACAGTAATTGCAATTTTTAATATTTAATTACTATAGTTATTGTTAAATAATAATTTTTGGAAATACTTAATGAGAATTAATTTTTAAAAATTGATAAAATTTACAACTAATTACTGATATTCATTATTAATTACTGTTAATAAGTTACTATATATTGTTAATTGGTTGAAAATTTCATTAAATTCTGTCAATAAAGGGATCAAATGTAATTGAAATGTTCAATAATAAATTACTATTTTTAATGATTTTTTTTGTAAATCTTAAAAGACTACTACCAATTTCTAATAATTTTTAATAATTAATAATAATTTAATGTTAAATAAATAGAAAAATAATGATTATTTCTGGTAATTTTCATAATTATAGATAATTTACTGATAAATGACAATAATTTACTTTGGAATTCGGGTCAATTTAAATAATTTCTATTAATAGTAATTTTTGAAAATAATTAATGATAATTAATTTTTGAAAATTGCTAGAGTTTACAACTAGCTATTGATAATTACTATTAATTATTATTAATAAGTACTTAACGTTAATTAGTTGAAATTTCTATTAATTAGTGTCAATAAAGAGATTAGAAATAATTGAATTTCAATAATTAATTATTATTAATTAGATGAAAATTATAGTAATTAGCTAGTGATATTTTCAATTAATTACTAACCGTAACTAATTAATCATAATGCTAACAATAAGTTCTTTTCAATTATTATGGATATTATTAATTAAGTAATTAATCATAGTATTAACAGTAATTAATGGGTCATTACGATCCATGATTGTAATGATCCTTAACAGTCACTAATCATAGTTTTAATGAGCACTATGGGTCGGCTTTCATTTAATCAATCATGGCGTTAACAGTAAATGACCTATTGACCCACAATTGTGATAATTAAAAGTATATATAATCATACTGTCTGTGACATGTTACAGTAATTAGGGTTTAAAGGCATAATTATTTTATGAGTCATGAGTAGTTCAGTACTCTAGTCTCTAGGCCGAACTGTTCCGGTTCTATGTGATTATTCTATGCAGCTGGACCGGGATGACCCACATCACTTAAGTTATATGGGTTGGGTTTGGACCTATACGTACCCTACCCATATAATTCCTCTTCTTCACCCGATTAGCAGCTGCAATGATCATTCGATAGAACGATCACAACATCTGAGTTGAGGCAAGAAGACAACACCCATTATCATAGAACCAACTACATAATTGCTAGAATCCCCATCGGCCATCGGAGGTTGTTTTCAACATAATATCGGTGGAGAATTCTAAAACCAACAAACTATGGGAGGATTTGGTTCAAGCATTAATCTTTTTTTCCCTCTGTTGTTTTTTCTTCCTTTTTTTTGTATAGGAATGGACCTTTGGAAAAATATTATAGACTCTTTAACTGAGACATGCATATAATGTAAGGGTCTAACAGATCGAACAAGGATGATGGTTGTAGATGATATTATTGACTCTTTAACTGCCCTTGTTTTAATTTGACCTCCAAAGAAGGAAAATGGTAACTTATTTACATACTTGATAAACCAACTGTGGATGATGGTGGTAGGAAGACGATGATGGCTGCTCTCCCCTGTTTTCAAGTTGAAAAATTGAACTTATATTGAGAAAGAGAAAGGGGTGGAGCCATTGGTGATACTGGTTGTAAACGTGTTAACAGGAATTTGCTCCGCCGCTTTGTTTTGAAGTTGATGAAAGTTAATCAATTTGGGAGGGAAAGAAAGCTTTTACATGGTTGGTTAGAAGGAAGGTTTATTAAATTTTTACTGTGGCTGGTTAGAAGATTATATTAAGGATATGATGCGCGATTGACTATGAAAGGGGCTGGGGAAGACTACTGAAGTAGCATCTTGAGATAGATGGCAAAGGAAAAGGGAAGTATTGAGGGAGCAAGGAAAGGTATAACGAAGAGGAGCGAAAAGGTCTCCATTAGGTTATGTTTTGTTTGAAGGAAAATGTAGGGAAAGGAAGGAAAAGGTAGAAAAATCTTTACAAACCTTGTATTTGTTTCCCTTCTTTCCCTACCTTTTCCTTCAAATCAAACATAGCATTAGGGTAAGGGAGAAAGGAATGGCCATCTAATGTGACCATCCTTATTTTAATATGTAATAATAGATATTTTGTTCTTGCATGGATCTATAAAATTATTCACACAAATTGAGGGAATTGACTATCACATCAACTTTTACCCTTATATCCAAAATGAGCATAATTTATTGTTTCCTTGGTTTTTACGTGGGTATGCCAAATAAAATGAGCACTTACTTTGTAAGATCTAGAACATTTACATAGGTGAAATTTCACTACCTATTTTTGTT